TCACACGAGCAGTAGCCACACCCGCCATCCGATGGTACTCGGATGCCCCGCCAGCAAAGGAGGGCGAGGCAGCTGAAAAGAAGGAGGATGCGCCCGCAGAAAAGAACGAGGTATCACAATTGAAGGAGCAGCTAGAGAAGAAGGACAAGGAAATTGTCGAATTGAAGGTATGCCACACCCCAAGGTACAGGAGAAAGAGGGGCAAACGACTAACAACGTCTAACAGGACAAATACCTCCGCTCAGTCGCCGACTTCCGCAACCTCCAAGAGCGCACTAAGCGTGAAATCCAAGGCGCAAAAGACTTTGCCATCCAGCGCTTCGCCCGTGATCTCGTCGAGTCGGTCGACAACCTCGACCGCGCCCTCGGCACCGTGCCCGAGGAGAAGCTCAAGTCTGACAACACCGATCTGATTGCTCTGCACGATGGTATCAAGATGACCGACAGCATTCTCATCAACACGCTTAAGAAGCACGGGTTGGAGCGATTCGACCCCTCAGAGTCGGCGGAGAAGTTCGATCCCAACGTCCATGAGGCGGTGTTCCAGGCACCACAGCCAGACAAGGAGGACGGCACTTGCTTCCACACACAGCAAAAGGGCTTCAAGCTTAACGGCAGAGTACTACGACCGGCAAAGGTTGGCGTCGTAAAGAACGCCTAAGTTACAAACTTCTACACGATCTATGACGACTCAGACTATTTTTTTCTCACATCTGTATGACTACCTACCTTGGCTTCGCTGCTCCAAAAAGAATGCAGCGGTACATTTTGGGAAAAAAAGGCGTTTTTCTTCCTGTGTATGTACCACACTCAATGGGCTTACACTTGAAAATTCTCTTCTTTTTCTTTTATGAAGACAATGTGTACATATATTCCCCTCTCTCTCACACTCACGCATCTGCAAACAAATGTTCGCACCAAAATCAACTAAATGACGTAACTTTGCGAAGTTGTGTAACTGTAATATTAGCTTACTGATGGAGATGATGTTGATAATAATAATAAGAAAAAAGGAACAAAGTCTTGAAGGCAAGAGACAAGGTTAATTGCCATTTGCTTTCGACTCTCTCCACAATCTGCCCTATTCTGAATAATGATACTTTCTCCCTGTTTGTGACGACGCCCAACCTATTTTCGAACGCCAGCCCATGCATTTGTTTTTCGACCCAGCCAGAGCGCATTGAGTATTTCAATTTCCGTAGGATATCCCTCCAAGCTCGTAATACATCTACCAGCCCTGACCATAAGGCGTAGCACCATATGGCGTAGTACCTCCTTGGGCTGCTCCACCCCAGGAACTGGCACCACCATAGCCTCCGGGGCCTCCAACCGGCGTGTAACCTCCTGCATCACCGTAGCCTCCTCCATTCAACATGGGGCTCTGGGCACCGCCGAAATCCTCGTGGTCTCCAATGCCACCAGATAGTTCTTTGAGGACTTCGGCGAGTTTGATTTGTAACCGTTGGATTCCTTTTGCGACAATCTGATCGGGCTCGATACCACCGACTGTTTCGACGTCGTAGAAGAAGCGTGTGGGCACGGCGTTGTAGTTGAAGGGCTCATCGGGGTTGGGTGGACCGCCATCGAGATTGACACGGGCTTCGTCTTTGGGCCTATGAGCGTATCGTTAGTTTTGACGCGGTCTCTTCACTCCACTCAACAAGACTATACATACCACTCCTTCTCCGCGTCTTCCTCATGCCAGTAGTCCAGGTGGTGCAATTTGTTTGCGGGGTCGTATTCGAATCCAATCGCTGCACTGGGTGCCCACTTGGCGTGTTCCTTTGCAATGCCCTTCTTTGCAATGCACTTCATGTTGATGGCTTGGCCTCTGCGCAGCTTCACGATACAACTGCCCGTCCCCTCCGAATCTGTAATCACCGGTCTTCCTAGCTCATCATTCGGCGGCCTCGACTCGATGACCAGATCGCGCGCATACACCTTCATGACCTCGCTGCCTGTGCATTTGGCATTGAGAGTAAGAACGACGCTGCAGTTGTCGCAGTAGCCCTCGCAGTCACAGTCGCGCGAATACAACAGGTCGTCTACGCCCTTTGACGACAAGGGGATGAGACCGAGGCGATGACAGACAAACTCATCGGCAAGAACCGATGTGTTGTCAAACACTTCGACGACGTCGATGGCGAGCGTCGGGATCTCGGCGAGCATTACACGGCGAAGTGCATTTGCGGTCTCGAGATTGAAGTTCTGAACAATGAAGTGGGCTCGCTGGTTGTCGGCCTACGCATGGCTATGTTAGCTCGACGTATCCGTCAAGGTAGACAGAGCGGGCGGTGTACCTGGAGGAAGCGGACGTTGATTTGGCCGCCATCTGGATCGTAGTCCATCGCGTCGTCGTGTGGATGAGAAGGGGGCTGAGGGGTCGTAGAAGTCGCAAGCGAGCCGAGGTATCGGCGCGACTGGAACGGATGAGCGACAGGTACGTGTTGGTGTTTGTGGGGTGGTGCTGACTAGGGTCGTCGTGCTATACGGAGATTCTTTGAGGTGAGGCTGGAGCGGAGAGGCGGCCTAAGCCGATTGCGGCTGAATACTCCACGCGCCACATCTGCGCCACAAATTGGTAATGTGAGGCTTCGGTTTGCCTCGATGGAGTTCGCATGGCCTAGAGTGTTCTTTGGTACTTTGTAGAGTAGTGCCATGCATGATGTTAACCACCCAAGTGCCGTGTAGTAGGATGAACAAGCTTGGAAATGAATTGTAGCATTGTCATACGTGCGCCAATGATTCTACAGGGCGAGAAGCCAATGTTATCGTTGGCTAGCCAATGCAACAAGAGTCGATAGCATCAAGAAGAAACGTGCCAGCTCAGCAAAGACGCTCAGCCTGCGGACTTCGAGACATTAGCGCGACAAGGCGCAACTTGCATCCAGCCTTGCTTGCGACACCTCTTATCGAAACATACGCCGCAAGCCAGGCATGGGAGAGTTGTCGCGTGTAAGACACTACTAGAATGCTACTATCGGCTGACGAAGTCGACGTGCACAGGACCGCCCAGGGTCATGTTGCTAGTTGAGCCAACCAGTATAATGGATTCCCCTGCCAGTCGTACGGCGCAGCGCGAGCAGTGACGTTGTTGAGTCTGCTGCCAATCAAAGACTTTATCACTTGCCGAGTTGGAAAGACAACGGCCGTTGCAGCGTGTATGCCGTGCAGTCAGTCTGAATATAGCCAAGGCGGACACTAACAGTAAGCTTGTTGCTTCAGTGCTGTGCAGATATCATTCGGTGGGCCAAAGCTGATGCTGCTAGAGTCTTCCTTCGTCCGGCTGGGGGCGGAGTTGAAGGCGAGTGTGCAACAACGAGGCTGAGGCCTTCTCCTTTTCTTTGCGCACCGTGATGTTGTCCGCTGAGTCTCCATCAAAGACGCGTCTCTGAGGCCCGTGACCCCTCACTACGCAACGTGTTGAGAAGGAGAGTATGGGGGGCAGTGCAGTGGTGCCCAGTCCTGGCAATGGTTGCGGGTGTGGTGACGGCCGAATTCTAGGCTTGGCGAATTGAGGCGGAGCAACGCTTGCTGCTGGCATGCCGAAGCTGGAACCACTCGCCGTCAGAGGGCAATGTTTGATATAAGACGCACCCTGTCACAACATTGCTCTCCAACTCACCACAGCTACTCAACCCACCAGACATTCACAACATATCTTCTCCTTTAGCATCCATGATATCAAGCATGCAGGCTACCATACCATCGCCACAGCGCTCTCGCGCATCATCACGAAGCAAGTCACCGCTTTCTATCGACCTGTCAGACTTGCCACCACTAGTCGAGCCATCACCACCCTCAAACACTCTCATCATCACCGTAAGCAATGTATCGAACGACTTGCAGCTACAGTACTAACAAGACTTAGAATCTTTTGGCACCCGAAATCTTCCAACTATCTACTCTTACCGAGATCCGCGAAACAATCAACCAACATGCGAAAGTGCACACATGGGCGCCGCTCAAATCTTTCCGTCGCATAGTGGTTTCCTTCTTCGATACCGACTCTGCGATACAAGTTCGCCAGGCTCTTGACGGCGAGCAGCTCATGGGCTTCCGTATCCGTGTATACTTTGGCGTAAACACACCCATGAACCCCTCAGACCAGCACCTGGCACTGCCCAAATCGGATCGACTCTTCTTTATCTCGCCACCACCATCGCCACCCATGGGCTGGGAAATAAAGGAAGAGGATGCGCCCAACACAATCGTCCACCCTGAGGATCTGGCAGCAGCGCTAGCCAAGCTCCATGCAAACCCTGAGGCCTCGTCACCTACCGATCACGGAAGCAACACCATCACCAGGAGGCGGACAGGCAGCACAACTGTAGTCTACCACCCGGAGGACCACGGCGACTCGCCTAACCTTCCAGCCATATCCGTCGAAGACACAACTGAGACGCCTGAGGCTCTGACGCCCCTCGATGCAATGGAAGGAGTCGAAGGACCTATTGCTTCGCAAAAGGCTCAAGGCATGACTACCAGCACCGCCAGGCCACCAGTCGAGCTCATGCACTGAGGCCTTATGTCACAGTTTTTCGGTCTTTTTTTCCTTTTCTTTTTATGTGTTATCAAAAAAGCATTACATGTGCATGAATTCAAAGCATGGCACGGCTTCGGCGTTTGTGATTTACTGGGTTAGGAAATGCTCGGTTCCGAGCTGGTTCCGTGCATCGGATCTGGGGTTAGCATGAATTGCGGGCGCACGTCGATTAGCATAGTACTTGGCTTCTGCAGGAGCTGCAGCACATGTGGAATGAAACGAATACGTTTGATCTGAGACTGCATTGTCATATATGTATAGTGAGGAAATAGAGACAGCCATTAACTTCTGGCTGAACTTGACTCGAGATATCAGCTTTTCAGTGTGGCTTGAAAGTTTGACTTGATGGAAGGAGTGATGCAATCATCTGGTTTTAGTCGCTTACGACGTTAGAGTTGCATCCAGCCCTGTACACTGAAGCGCAGCTCTCGCGTCAGGGCGTGATTAGGTGACCATGGATGTCGTCAAAGGTCACTTGTATCTTCAACTACAAGGTTTTACAGAAAATGTTCCCTTACCACCTCGATTCACAAAAAAACATTGAACTTTTGTTCTCAATGTTCGCACTGTCAGGCACGTGTGCACGTGATACGCCAAGGACACTAGCGCGCACCACTCCGTAAGCGAGGCCTGTCGAAAAGCAGATTCCGAAATCTCCAATTCAGACTCACGACCACCTACTAACGTTGCAGCTTCCGCACGCCGTCGAGACGCCGCAGTCAAGATGAAGCTCAACATCTCCTACCCCAACAATGGCACCCAGAAGCTGATTGAGATTGACGATGAGCGCAAGCTCCGCGTCTTCATGGACCGCCGCATGGGTCACGAAGTCCCTGGCGACAGCGTCGGCGACGAGTTCAAGGGCTACATCTTCAGGATCACCGGTGGAAACGACAAGCAAGGTTTCCCGATGAAGCAGGGTGTCATGCACCCTACCCGTGTCCGACTCCTGCTCTCTGACGGCCACTCCTGCTACCGTCCCCGCCGCACTGGTGAGCGCAAGAGGAAGTCCGTTCGTGGCTGCATTGTCGGCATGGACCTTTCCGTCCTGGCTCTCAGCATCGTCAAGAAGGGTGATGAGGACATTCCCGGCCTGACCGACATTGTCCACCCCAAGCGCCTCGGTCCCAAGCGCGCGACCAAGATCCGCCGCTTCTTCGGTCTCAGCAAGGAAGATGATGTGAGTTTTCTCATAGCTTCTTCGCCAATCCTGCTTCGCCCAGCGGATTGAGTCTCGCTCTTTTCTGCAACAAGCAGCGGATTGAGTCTGAGCAAGAAGTGAGCCTAGAAATTATGAAGGTTTGAGCACTAACAATTACGTTTGTAGGTTCGCAAGTTCGTCATCCGTCGTGAGGTTCAGCCCAAGAAAGAGGGCGCCAAGCCCTACACCAAGGCCCCTAAGATCCAGCGTCTGGTTACTCCTCAGCGTCTCCAGCACAAGCGTCACAGGCTCGCACTTAAGCGCCGCCGAGCGGAGGCTTCCAAGGACGCTGCCGTACGTACACTCTATATCTATGTACAGAATGAAAGACTAACAACATGGCAGAACGAGTACGCTCAGATCCTGTCCAAGCGTATCAACGACGCTAAGGCTGCTCACGACGAGGCCCGCAAGAGGAGGGCGTCTTCCATGAAGCACTAGAGGATCATCATGAATTCATGATTGGGTCGTGAAATGGTTACATTGGCGTCGGCACGAAAATAAGGGAGTGGGCTCCTGTATCTGAATGAAAACTTCGGGCATTCAAGGGGATAGGCGCTTCTCATACCACTGACTGTTTCAAGCAGTTGTCTGAATAAACAATTGCATCACTTCACGGCCGCCACATATGCTTTCTGTATCTCGCTTTGTTGTTTTTTCTCATCTTGTACGTTGCGACAATTGAGCACCGGCACTTTTGCAGAACACTGTTGCCATAATTCCTGGGTACTTACAGAGTATTACGATCTCGTTGGAAGTGTCAATGAGCAAACAAGCATAGTTGCTATTGGTTCTAAGCAGTCTCATTCACGAGGCTGGTGAGCTTATCTAATCACTGTGCCCTGACTCTCAATACCCCTAGCATAGGGACCCTCTAGGATGTCGCTCCCACCCAGCAAACCCATTGCCCCGTTACCCAGCAGGCCGCCTGACGGCACGCTACCTCGACGGTCCGACCATATCTCATGAAAACGAATTGCCATATCACTAGCCGCAACCACTATGCACCCCTCTTCCACACCCCTTCTGGACCAAACCCCATCTTCGCCTCTGGCTCTTCCATCGCTACCATCATCGTCCAGTTGTGCCCTACTTGTAGGTCCACCAGGGTACGCAATGGCGCACAGAGCACGATTCTCATCATACCACGGCACGGCCACAAGCTGCTCGCAGCTTGGCCATGCAAACACCGCAATACGATACGGATGTTCTGGTTGGGCAAAGCCAAATGTTGCAGCTATCTCGCGCCGCGTCTGTGACCAGATAAGACTGGTAACTTGGGCCGCACAGTCAATGGTTGCAAGACAGGTGCCTGAGCGTGTGTGATAAAAGTGAATACAGCGGTCGTTCGAGCCGCCGCCAATGGCAATTAATCCGCGTTGCCAAGGGCAAAAGGCTATTGCTTTGACGGCAGCGTTGAGGGTCCATGTGTGCTTTGCTGCAGAGGGAGTGAGATGCAATATCGAGTTATCACGATTCGACACTGTGTAGATGGATTCTCCCCTCGATCCCTGACGGACATCGAGCAAAGTTGACGTGTCTTGGCCTGATGGGTTTTGGCGGAGTACTTTTTTCGTTTCGAAGAGATTACAGTTATTATCGTTTCCGCCGCTTGCAAAAAGCTCGCCGTCTAGGGACCATGTAAGGCCGCAGATTTGTTGGCTGTGGATGGCTAGACGGGCGAGAAGGGTCATGGCGCCGTGCCAGCCAAACAAGGCGCTTTGAGTCTCCGATGGCCATTCCACGCTGTAAAAGTAAATATGGCCCACTTCATCTCCGATGATCAACTCTTCGGTTGGAACGGTCATTGCTCTATCGCGAAGAGAAGGACGCTGCACAACAGTAGGTCTCCAAGATACACATGATACTGACTTGGGCTGTGTAACATCAAAGCGAGGTTCTGAATCAAAGGGGCTCCAAAGTGAGATGCGCCCGTCTGCTCGTCCTGCAGCGAGGATTGCCTGGCCCCCGCACTCTGATGAGAAGCTCAGGGATGTAACGTGCTGATCCACGGGGATACTGTTTGGTGGTCTCGCATTGAGTGATTCTGGTGTGTTCACACCACTCCGCTCTGACCAAATGTGTACAAAGTTCCCTAGGCCGACAGCAAGGCATTTGGAAGTATCTGAGTATGCGACAAGAGTGCAATAGTAGTCGTCTCGAAGGTCAGGTGCATCAAGAACTGTGGGTTTGGTAAGCTCCAGTAAACTCGATGATTCTTAGAACCTATCTGAAGGGTAGTATTGCCACAGTTCTTCGCTTTTGCGACACCTGACGCTGTACTTCATCGAACCATTAGCCGAAAATCGAGCGGAAGATAATATGAGAATTAAAAAGACAAACGTGAGCTCAAATTCTCTTTGATCCATGCGCTGTCTCGCCACACATGTCTGCCATGTGATGGTGCACTAAAATCTAGAGAGTTTCGAGAAGTCCACAAAGGTGAATGTTGAAGTATTCGATCTGTCCGGTCAATGTCTAGTGCCAGTGCTAGTCGCTGTGCGTAGGCTTCTAGCTCAGCTTCAGGATCCGCTTGGCTAAGGAATGCGGATTTGTAGAGCGGCGCATTCGTTCCACTACCGAGCATCCTACCTCTTCCAGTGGATACGGCTACCACCGTGTCACTCACAGCAGAAGGTCCACCGACATTCCAGACTGCGCCAGTGCTGATCTGGCGACCAGCTAGGGGAACAGAACCTCGTCTGAAGTGGATATTTCTCCTGTTAGCATTGACCCTTCCCAATATCATTGAATGTGTCTCTCGGAGCCCACGCAGTTCTTCATTCAGTCGACCACTCCTGCTTAACCGACGACTGAAGGCGTCTGCGTTTGTGTGAGTACCTCGGTTAGTAGCCTGTTCCGTTCTTCGACGTTCTGCAGGACTGTTGAGCTCAAAGCTTTCTCGCGCAACAGCTGGTGGCCGACGGTAGGCTATGAAGCGATCAGGCGTGCCTGTTTGACTATAACGAGTCGACTCTAGCAAGCCTTCTCGGGCTGCGGATCGGCTAGACCTTATGGGAGAACTCGAATAACATAAGGGAAATGGGCGTAATTTATTCTCTGGAATGCTTTTCGTCGCTGGGGTGTCAATATGGCTTGTGATGGGCCGAACTTGGCCTTCCTGGGTGACAAGTGATGTCCTAGATCCCGAAGATGGGAACTGTGCATATGTAAGCTTTTAGACCAAGCCTTCTAAGGAGACAGGATTGCTATGCTTTCGCCTTTTCGGCAGTGATGACCTTCGGTCTAGGCCGGAATCATGCATTCTGCTTGGAGGAAGTGGTACTTCATTATGTATAGGATATTTACATATCACGGGTAATGAACGAGCGTGTGCGATAGAGAGATCATGAGATAGATACGAAGAGGGTGGATCAGTAGCGGAAAGTCGCTGTGGTTTGACAGGTGAATCATCGTGTGGCTGCACCGGTGAAGAATCGTACTTGGTTGCGTCGAATACCGGATTTGGGAGCGCATCAAGACGAGAACTGAATTTGGACTTCCTAGGAGAAGATGTTGGGGTCAGGTGAAGGTCACGGATGGCATTGTCGACGTCCCGAAAGAAGAGACAGCTGCGACTTTTACGAGGGGATCTGGGTGTCCTTGGTGACGACCACTCTTCTGTGCTGACGGTCTTTGTAGGGGACAGTGGCGGCACGAGGTATTCAGAGGTCAGTGGAAATGCGCTATCATCAGTGTCGTTCATGTTGAGCGGCTGAAGCCAAGATGAGTGGACCGAAGAGCTTGTGTCGCCAACCTCAGTTCATGTGAAGCTGTATAAAGGAAAGTAGCCAGCAGATTGGCTACACCGATACTTTTACTGTTGGGTTAGTAATAATAATGGTGGATGAAATGTCAAGGATGTCGTGTGTTAAGTGTATATCTGATGGGGCGTTGAGTAGCAACCTCCGCGGGCGGTGACGTGGGGGTAAGAAGTCCACGCGCGTAGTGGGGCAAATCCCACCGCGGCTCCAATCTACAGCAGCTGCGAACTTGCGTGTTGCTCGAACAAACACCATGGCAAGTGTAAGCAGACGGCCTGCTTGCATGCATGTAGAATATGACTAATGATTCTAGCACGGTATAGCACGTGGGACAGGCCCTGTTGTGCGTTCTGAGGAGGCTCGACAGAAGGAGCTTGAGCAGATTGCGCAGTACAAAGAGCTGGCAGATTTAGTGAACACAAAGGTATGTGACTCGTGTTAAATGATGCCAGAGGAAGGCTGATTGTGGATACTGCAGATTGCTGAGAAGCAACATACAATCGAAGCCCTCGGCCTAGTCACAAAGCTACTAAACGAGAACCCCGAATACTACACAATATGGAACCACCGCAGACGCGTCCTAGTGGCTCTGGTGAAAGCGGAGTCACCCGGACAATCTCCACATGACTTGCTGCAGGATGACTTGCAACTCACGTTTGCACTGCTGCGGAAGTTCCCCAAGTGCTACTGGATATGGAATCATCGCAACTGGCTTCTGCGCCAGGGAGAGGCTTTGATGGGAGTGGAAGCGGCGCACAAGCTCTGGTCGGGAGAGCTGCAACTCATAAACAAGATGCTGCATGCGGACAGTCGAAACTTCCATGCTTGGGGCTACAGACGTATTGTGGTGTCGGAAATCGAACGCTTGGCCGCGGATTCAGAGCCTACAACTGAGAACACTCCGAAGAGTCTCGCTGAATCCGAGTTCGAATATACCACCAAGATGATCAAGACCAACCTCTCCAACTTTTCTGCTTGGCACAACCGCAGCCAGCTTATCCCCAAGATCCTCCTTCAACGTAACGCAGACTCCAAAGCACGTCGCGCCTTCCTCAATTCAGAGCTGTCTTTGATATGTGAGGCCATCAACACCGACCCGTTCGACCAATCCATATGGTTTTACCACCAGTACCTTCTCTCAGTTTTATCTCCTTCGTGCCCACCAAACCACCAAGTTGTCCAAGATTTGACTAATGATGAGCGGCAAAAGTACTACGAGAACGAGATGGAATATATACGGGAGATCTTGGAGGACGAGGCGGATTGTAAATGGATATACGAGGCACTCCTCGGGCTTGCAGAAGCGTACCTAGAGGTCGATGCTGGCACAGGGACGTTCACGACAAAGGGTATGAAGTCATGGCTAGGCGAGCTGAAGCGACTGGATCCGTTGCGGCGAGGAAGGTGGGACGATTTGGAGAGAAGATTGAATCTCTGAAATGCCAATCAATGAACAATGACAGCCATCAAGGCTTCCCCTTCGCTTCTTCAATGTTTTCCTTTGCAGGCACTACTTCTTTATTCGCTTCTTTTTTCCAAGCCCACAAACCTAGCATGTTCGACCAGGAATTGTCAGGCGGTTGGGAGGCGATAGTTTTTTCTTTAGCCTGGAGCTGAGGTTGTGCAGGACTAGAATTGACTCCACTCGAAGCAGCGGCAGCAGCCAACTCTCTAACCAGACTATAAGTAGAGGTACAACAGGGCGCTAAGAGATTGTGCGTACCGTTGGTACTCTTCATTCATCCGTGCGAGTCGTTGTTTCTTGAACTCGCCATCAAAAGTTGCTACTCCAATTGATACGCCCATAATCGCTGCCAATGCAATGGGGAGGATACGTCCTGCCATTCCTGTTCGCTTGTTGTGTGCGCGACCTGTTGATGTCTTCGAGGTGGAGGTGAATGACGAAAGCACTCCCGCGGGGAAAAGTTCGGCATGCTTCCACCGCCAGGACGCGCTAGCAGGCGAAGCACGGGACGACGCGTTCATGCCCACCATTTACAAGCAGAAGCCCACTCCACCAGCGTCGAACCGCATTACGACATGCAGGCGCGCCCAAATGTCCAAATGGCGACAGAAAGGATTTGTCCAGGATTCGGATGAAGATGAAGAAGAATCTCAGCTCGAGAGCCAGGGTTCTAGGCTGAACAGTGGCTTTAGTAGACGCGTCGAGCGCGTCGAAGATGACATCAACGAGGTCAAGCAAGCTGAGGAGACAAGGCACCTCGTGAAAAAGGATGGAGAAGGCTCTGAAGGTTACTTTGTTGTTGATGGCAACATAGAAAGAATATGTCCACAAGAAAAGAGGATAATATCGCCCACGAAACACAATTCACCCAAGCGTCCCACGCCCTCGCCATTTACGCCGTCGTCAACGCATAACCCAAGACCTCAACCGTCAGAGAGTCCAGATCCGCTCCAAGGCTCTCCAACACCAAAAGCTCTACGGACTATCCGAACTCGATTATCTCAACACCACCCTGAATCACCAACCCACCCGCACAATTCAACAGTGTCCATTCCTCCGCTTTTCGACGAACTTGAGCCACCGTTTCAAACGGCCCGAAGCTCAAACATACCGCAACAGGCGGCTCCTGCAGAACACCCGAAGGGACGTACTGGGGCATCGAATATATTGAATGAATTTGGCATTGCGCCTTTGTCAGATAGCTCTGATGATGAGCTTTCAGATCCGCCCACAGACTTGGAGTCACCTCCGCCGGTGTTCATCCAGCCTCACAGACGGACAGCAGTTCGAGTTGTCATTCCGTCTTCAACGGCTTTACAGCGGCATCTCGTGGAAGAAAGGGCAAGGCATGACTTTCGCCAGCGGAAACCGATTCAGTTGCATCCTTATGCACTGGAGGGTGAGATGTACCGGAGGGAGGTCCAGAGCAGAGGTCTCCAGCCGGTACGAAGAGAGAGGTCGCGCTCACCTCAAGGTCACCGAAAGCAGCAAAATGATGAATCGCAAGAACAAGAGTTCAATCCCGACGAGAACCCTACGAGCAGTCCCCCAGAGGCTGAGATACCAGTCTCTAGTCCCAATGTCCCGCAGCTAGAGAAAGATGGAAATGCCAGAGATTCAGGACATCAGCATGCTTTCAAGCGTATCAGACGCCCTCCTTCCACACAGCTTCGCCACCCTCATGCAGCGAAACGGAGGAAGTTCAATATTCCATCTACACAGGATGTTGTACCACCGACGAGCATATTCGAAAACTCTAGGCTGCAACGCGACATTTGGTCAATACCCCCTAATTCTCCTCCTTATTCGAGTAGTCCACCACCGCATGCGAACGCTTCAGCCCGCCGTCCAGGTGTACTGCGTGCGATAACGCCAGCCCCCAACTTGCCAACTCCCTCTACCTCATCAATCATGCAAGATGACCCTCGTCCATTGTTGGAATCTGACTCTGAGACTGTCCCGCATAGTACTCAAAGGCCTAGTAGTGGCCTTCGTCGACCAATAAGAGTGGTACTAACGGACAGTTCGTCTTCCGGGGCAAGTTCTGCCAGCGAGGCAGAGCAGAGCGACAATGAGTTAAGAAATGTGAGCAGAAAGATCAAGGGGGTTTTACCGGCTTCCTGGCTACGATTCGACCGGCAGACTCAAGAGCGACGGAAAGCCCAGCAACGTGAGCGAGACAGGATGCGTGTGAATATTGCTTTGTCCCCTGAGCGCAACACACCAGTGCGCGGAGTTGCTCAAAAAATTACAAAACCACTGGGTCGGACTCTATTGCCATCAGTTCTCAATTCCTCTTCCAAAGATCCAGTCGTTATATCCGACGAGTCGGAGGATGAACTACGGGCTCCTTTCTCGCGCCTTATCCAGGATACCCAGGACCCTGTAGCTGATACCTCGGCATTAGCTAAGATATTGGACAGCCGCTACGCTGATGACGACAATCTGTCGGATATGGAACATGATCGTTTGCATCTACCTACACTAGGAGGGACTGGTCCTAAGCGGAAGAGACAGAGTAAGCTGACCGACGTATTTGACAAAGCAAAGAAGGTAAAGTCTTCAACCTATGCCGGACGATCCTCTGGTGGTCAGTCTGAGAAAAGAAGATACGGTCATCCTAGGAAATCGCATCGACCTGCTCCGCCAGCTATGAGCGTTGTCGATGTTATTCTGTCGCCATCGAAACGAGGCGCCAATGTACCACAGTTTCTTCGAGTGGCCAGGCGGCAAGCGCTTCAAAGACCGGATCTTGCCCGCCAAAGTCCACGTAACAAACAAATACGACTGCACAATGCTCAGGATACCGAGGAAGCCAACACCGTTCTTGAGCAATGGCAAAGGGGTGCTTTAAAGCCGAAATCAGATATCGCTATGCAAGAACGGAGACCTCGCTCTCCCTTGACTAATAGGGCCGACAACCAGCAGTATGCAGAGCGAGAATCAGGAATTGATGCAGATTCTGCAAAGGACCTTGATAGGCTATCAGGAGCTACAACGGAAGTTTCCCGTTTGCGGCAACGTACAAACATACCTACTGGTCTTCGGGTCTTTCGACGCTCGTCTCCTAATGACGTTAAGTCCACTCGTCGAAGTAAGAAAATATTGCAGACCACCAAGCATCACAAACGTCCAGAGCTCAATGGCTCCTTACCATTCAGAGTTGCACAGCTGGAAGGTGATGAGAATGACTTTGGCCGTGACCACAGGAAGATCGCGTTCGAGAAAGGTTTACTGCATGTCGACCAGCAGTTCAGAAAGCAGCCGTCTAATGAGCATCATATTGTCAATCCCCAGTTAGCGCGTTACCTTGCAGATGATGCTGAACTACCATTGCTCCCTTCTGCGAACGACTCAGGAGAGCGTACAGTAGAGGCTCCAAGCAAACCAGGACCTGTGACCAAGAAACGCCTCAAACTCAAGAGTCAAGCGCGAAGGATAGATGTGGATGCACGAGAATTCCGTCAGCCAAGCGAGCCAGCAGTTCAGGAAGTGCTCGGAACAATCGATGTTGCTCCAGTACAGGAACCCAATCCAGAGCAAGACCTTCCTATCCTTCATGGATTGGGACCTTTTGGGACGCGGTATCCCATCACATTTGATGTATACTCACTGGCATCTGGGACATACTTCCATACATCTACCTTGATCGGGTCTAATGAGTTTCATCGAGCTCTAAGCATTGGGAAGCCAGAGAGTCGCAACCTTGACGAGACTGCAGGGTATTCCACCGTTACCGACGGAGCAATATCTGTCAGATGTGGTTCATGGAATGACGAGACGTCTTCGAATCTGTATGACCTAGTGAGGAACGTGTCGGGATCCTTGGTAGACCAACCATCGAACCCCAATACATCCACAAACATTCATGTTAGCGAAATGCCGGCAGCTAAAGTAACACGGTCACTCATTACATACATATCCGATCATCTCAGCTTCCTGGATCCAATCGACCGAAAAGACTTCGTGGCTAAAGCAGTCCGACTCTGCCAAACGCTCTTCGATGGTGCATTGGCTGCTTTTAATACCGTGGGTAGTCCTGGAACAGAACCTGGTTGGAGTGCTATGCGCACTGTCACCTATCTACTTGTCATAAGTCTTCAACTCCACCGTATTGCTCAACACTCGGCTGTCGACGAAGGAAGCCGCGTCGAGATCCTAACGCTGTTAAAGAACGTCTCAAAGACTGTGGTCACTCATTTGATACGACAAGCTATTCCTGAGTTGGGTAATTTTCTCGAACTCAACAAGCGACATTCTGTGCGTGAGAGAGGCGTGCAAGACTCTGAAATCGTTGTAGAGAGCACAGTCGTCTGCATGCACGTCCTAGAAGAGCTACATATGACAACCCGGGGATTTTGGGACATTGTCAGTCAAGAGCTCAGCCCCAAAGTATCTGGTGCCACTCATCTTTCTGATTTCGAAACAACATGGGCTACACTGTTCACTCTCCTCCCTTTTGGCGAAATCGATGTTTTGGGTATTCCACTCAGGAATCGAAGAGAAACCTTCCAGAGCGATAATTGGTCATGCATCCGGGATATTCTTCGACGAATATTTGAGTTGTACCCGAGCACGTACAGAAAGCACAGTGCATCACTGAATGATTATGTCCGGTCCAATCTTGCCCGATGTCACCGACTGATGACACACTGGCACTGGAGACGTCCCGAGTTGATGCTCAACGCCGTCGTGGACTTTTTTGGTAAGAATGGTCTTAAAGGTCTTCGACGCGAGGCAAGCGCTGGCTCCTTTCCTTTTCCGGATAACATGGCCGTTGACCCTTCATTGACTGTTGAGCCGAATGAATACTCCTTCCACATCTTACTCAAATGTCTTACTTTGGGTCTGCGCGGTATGAAAGACGTTTATCCCGAGAAAAAGATTCGTAGCTTTGTCTTTCGGTGTTTGCCCAACCACGGCCGAGCATATCCAAAAGATCAGCCTCTCGATGAGGAGAGCCTTGCAGCTTTGCGCAATCACCATGACCTTCTATCTGTTCTATACTGGAATGCCCCGCCAGCCTGTCGACCAAAGCTGGAACAAATTTGTGGTCTCGTAAATCACGACAACTCCCACCGCGAAGCTTGCAGATTGAGCGTCCGTGCCTGGGCGAACCTTACTGCTTTCCAGCTATCCACCGAGGAGCCCTACAAGTCTGCAGAACCCTTCGCACTTTGGCACAAGGAAATCATGCATCAGACTTTGAGACAGTACAAACTCGCGAAAATCGAGGCCGACGACTTTCTAAAATCAATTGCTGCCGAGGGTTCGACAAACATCTCAGCAGTCATGGTTCGTCAAACAATGGAGAGGAACCAAGAACAGGTCATTGCGACTTTGCGAGATTGCATTGCGGGTATGGGCAAGGCTATCAAATGCGCAAGGGACCTATCGTCTTTGAGAAATTTTCTTATCGAGTC